CTTCATATTTAACAAATCTGATAATATTCGATCCATATCGGCCCCCGATACTGAATATCGGATCGGTACATCCCTAGTGTGAAGTGACATATTCCCTGTGTTAGCGCGGGCTAGCTATGTTAGCGCGGGCTAGCTATGTTAGCGCGGGCTAGCTATGTTAGCGCGGGCTAGCTGCATTAGCGCGGGATAGCTACGTGCAGGACTAGCTGTGTTAGAGTGGACTAGTTGAGTGTGGGAGTGTTGTGTTAGCGCAGGCTAACTTTATTAGCGTGGGCTAACCGCGGGGCCGCATTAATGCGGGATAGCCGTGGTTACCCAGAACATGCTCTGTAACAAATACAACAGTGATCAGATGAGCCAAACTGAGACTTACTCGATTATCAGTAAAATAAGGCATTTCCTCACCTCCCGTTACTAACGTCCGCTCACCTTTAAAACGGCATCACCTAGACCTTGCTAACATGTTAGCAGACCTTGCTAACATGTTAGCAGACTTTGCTAACATGCTAGCAGACCTAGCTAACATGCTAGCAGACCTTGCTAACATGCTAGCAGACCTTGCTAACATGCTAGCAGACCTTGCTAACATGCTAGCAGACCTTGCTAACATGCTAGCAGACCTTGCTAACATGCTAGCAGATCTTGCTAACATGCTAGCAGACCTAGCTAACATGCTAGCAGGCAGTTACATGTGCTGCTGGGGACACATAGGTTTTCCAAACATGTCTGTTATAATGAGGGCATTTGAACTCATCTACTACATTAGCACAAATATGTTCTGTTTGAATGAATTGGCCTAGATTAGGCTAGAAGCACAAACAGGCTAACGTTAAAGCTATCACTGGTGGACCTGTAGTCAGTGAAGTCAGATTCAGACTGAGTTCATATCAACCAAGACAATGTAAGACAAATGTTATTGTCGATGAATTCAGACACACTCACCTTGTAGCGTTCTCCTCTAAATGGTTCCAGTCTAGTTCCTCTTTCAGATGATGGTTCCCACTGCGGGGGTTCCCATGAGGTGAGAATGAACCAAAGCGTAGGAATGGGAGGGGTGGCCTGAACGTCAAGCAGGAGCCAAAAGACTGGCTGCTTTTTGTCTAAAAGGAGTTGATTAGCCCCAACATGTCAGGGTTATGCCTCAGTCTGGGTTAAAGCAGGTTCAGAGAAACACTGTTTTCAGATCTGACACAGTCTGTAAAATACAGTGGTGCATTCTGGGAAATAGGGGCTGCATTCATTGACTCTTCTTATTTTTACTGTGTCTTTTAACTAGAGTCTGTTTCACTCCTGTCGGAGAATCTGTCACTCTGAGAGAGTACATCATTTTTTACTTTTTCGGTCATTTGACTGAGCAGAGCTAATCCCAGCCTCAGCCTCTTTCTATTTTCTTTTGTAGTGTTGCCTCCAAATCCTCTCCAGTGATGTCACATCCAGAATCATATTTACACGCTCAGATGTTAATAATGAAAGCAATAAACGTCAGAAGAACATTTGATCCACACACAGTAGTTTCCTGTTGTACTGTTATTATTCTCTCATTGATAGTGAGTGGAAGTTTTCCTCCCACTATCAATGTCCACACTTTGATCCAGGACATGTTCTTTTAGCCGTTTACATTTACAAATATACTTTTATTTCACTGCAGAGAATATGAAGAAGTTTGCTTTCTCTAAATACATTCAATGGACCATTTCAGCCAAAGACACTTTAGTCATGCACCAAAGCAGCCAGCAGGGGGCGCCATACTCCTCCATAAATGTGAAGCTGAGGCATTAGACTCCTGTGTGTGATGATGTTCTTATATCAGCCTTAAAACGACCAGAACCACCACTGCATATTGTCTGTATACTACTGCATATTGTCTGTATACTACTGCATATTGTCTGTATACTACTGCATATTGTCTGTATACTACTGCATATTGTCTGTATACTACTGCATATTGTCTGTATACTACTGCATATTGTCTGTATATTACTGCATATTGTACTATCTATTGTATCTATTGTTCCTTCACCACAAACTATTGTACATATTTTCACTGGAAGGGGAAACCAGAGTACCCACAAGAAACCCACAAGGACACGGGGAGAACATGCAAACTCCACTCAGAAAGGCCCTGTTCTGAACAGGATTTGAACCCAGAGCCTTCTTGCTGAGAAGCGAGAGCGCTAACCACTGTACAGCCTTTTTTCTGGTCTCTCCCTCTCTGGTCTCTTTGTGATCTCTCTCTCTCTCTGTTTTTTCTGTGGTCTCTCTGGCCTATCTCTCTGGTCTCTTCGTCTGGTCTCTCTCTCTCAAGTTTCTCTCTCTGGTCTCTCTCTCTGGTCTCTCTCTCTCTGGTCTCTCTCTCAAGTCTCTCTCTCTGGTCTCTCTCCGGTCTCTCTCTATGGTCTCTTTGTCTGGTCTTTCATGGTCTCTCTCTCTGGTCTCTCTCTCTTGTGTCTCTGGTCTAGCTTTGGTCTCTCTCTGGTCTCTTTGTCTGGTCTCTGTCTATCAAGTTTCTATTTCTGGTCTCTCTCTCAAGTCTCTCTCTGGTCTCTCTCTGGTCTCTCTCTGGTCTCTTTCTGGTCTTTTTCTGGCCTCTCTCTGGTCTCTCTCTAGTCTCTCTCTCTCTCTAGTCTCCCTCTGGTCTCTCTCTCTCTGATCTCTCTCTAGTCTCTCTCTAGTCTCTCTCTCTCTGATCTCTCTCTAGTCTCTCTCTAGTCTCTCTCTCTCTGGTCTCTCTCTCTCTGGTCTCTCTCTGATCTCTCTCTAGTCTCTCTCTCTCTGGTCTCTAATGACAATATAATATTATTTCACCCGTATTTAGCGCTTCTAATGATTTTGAAATGTCATGATTAATCATTAAATCGCATTGACTCAAAGTGAACACAAGGTGGCACTGTTGCTTTGTGAATACAGACTTATCCTCACATCAAGTAAACATAGTCTGTCAAAAAAAACGGAATTATATTTTTCTATGAACGTTGATAATGTGCGTTATCATGATTATCACTGTGGAACCACCAGATGGCGCTGTGCCTTTACAAACCCGTCCACCTCAGAGCACTAAGTAACAGGACGGAGACTTTTTTGCACTTCAGCGACGCAGCACAGAGAGTGTGTTTGGCTGGATGTAGAACACAGACCTCCCTCAAAGCAGTTTTTCAAAGAAGGAAATGATAAATCCATTCTTAATCAGTGTATCGTATTCAACACCTCCCCATTCTATCCATCCATCTGATATTCTGCCATTCACTAGTCACTTTACCTGCTGATTTCTGCTGTTTCTACTGTTTATTCTGCTCATATTCTCTGCTGCTAAAGTACAATATACACATCTGTAAATACTCCTGAGCCAAGAGCAATTATATCTCTAAATATTATCATACACATGTGTACAATAGAGAACATACAATTATCACATTACACCCATATCATTCCTTCCTGCTGCTGTCAGACTGCACAACGAACAGCGAGGACTAAGACACACTGCCGACCTGACCTCACATGTCGTGGATCGGTGCGATAATTTGAAGAATATTCGATATAGAACCACATGTGTCCCTTTGGAAGTAAGTTAAAGTCTGTGTTCATTAAGCCCATTTTTTAAAGACCAAGGTCAAGGGAAAACAGCACATTTCAGATTAAAATTAAGATGAAGAGATTATTTTTTTAGTTGCATAGTGAGTAAGTGAGTAATTTTTATTTATATAACGCACCCAAATCCCTTTACAATGTTCAGAATTCAGATATTGTTCCATTCTCTCCACACGGTGATGGCAAAAGCGAGATCTGAACACACTGGACCATGAAAGCCTCCGACCAAACACCATTCCTTTCACTCACTCGATACATTCAGACCTATTGTACGTGCTTTTAGTGGTAGGGGAAACCGTAGCACCCGGAGGAAACTTTCGCAGACACAGGGAGAACATCAGGAAGCTTCACACAGAAAGGTCTGGAGGTGGAATCGAACCCAGGACCTTCTTGCTGTACAGATGTAAACATACAGCTATATATTTTTGCACTAGAATATACTTACTTCTTCATCATAATAATGTTGGAGATAATTTTATACTTGCTTCTTTTTTATTTTAGAGATTTTATTTTTGTGACGAGTTATTGTTTGTTTATCCTCATTCCTACTGTTTTGTAACTTGTGATGCAACACTGACATTTCCCCGCTGTGTGTGGGACCAACTAAGGATCTTTAATTGTGGCTGTAACCTAAAGGTGAAAGCCAGAATCTGTCACAGCTCTGAAGTTAAGTAAGGCAGGGTCTGGTTAGTACTCCGATGGGAGACCTCTGGGAACACCGGGTGGTCGTGTCCTTCGGCAAGACACTTCCCCCACTTTAGATAGATAGATACTTTATTGATCCCCCGTAGGAGAAATTCAGGTGTCCAGTAGCAGCAAGAATGAAAATAATTGATAATTCTAAAAACATAATAATAATAATCAGAAACAGCCCTTCAGGTCACAGCAGCAGAGGTGGAGTAGCCTCTGGGTGGAGAAGGAGGGGTCACAGCAGCAGAGGTGGAGTAGCCTCTGGGTGGAGCAGGAGGGGTCACAGCAGCAGAGGTGGAGTAGCCTCTGGGCGGAGCAGGAGGGGTCACAGCAGCAGAGGTGGAGTAGCCTCTGGGTGGAGCAGGACGAGTCACAGCAGCAGAGGTGGAGTAGCCTCTGGGTGGAGCAGGACGGGTCACAAGGTCTGATATTTCTCGGTACAGACCTCGCGCTCGGTTAATAAGCCGTTGTTATTACACTATTTTAAACATTGCACAATCGTGTTTTTGGCCAAATGCAGAAAGACAAACTTCCCTGGAAAGCAGTTTTTGCAAAGAAGGAAATGACAAATCAAATCTTAATCATCAGAGTGTGTTATTGGAGTCCGTCGTGCAGTGTAATGAAAGAGTTCCTGGACACAGAAGGGGATTTTGTCTTTCCAGCCCCGTGGAGGATTGCGGTGAACCAGATCTGAAAAAGCCCCATCTGAGACGGGACTTTCTCAGATGTGTGGTCACTGTAACCTGCATCACCGAGCGGCCCGAGCCAAGGTGACCCGCCGCACCGGACACGGCGGCTGTGGCCTCCCAACGCTGACGCCACGCTCAAGTACCAGAGGTTTTATGTCGTGGGGCATCGCTGAAAACACTCTACCATCTGCTGTTTGACTCATCATTCTGTCACTTCACTCATTCACTGGAGCAGAAATAGTTACTGTACAGTCATAAGTACTTTACAATAGAAAGATATATACTTTATTCATTGTGCGTTGGTCCCTTGCGAGCAATCATACAAACATAGGATAGAGTTAAATGATAAAAACATAGTTAAAAATGACAATAAAATACATTAAAATCATTAAAGGAGACAAGTGAAGGCACTGCAAGACATTTCTCGAGACCTCTCAAAACAGTGGTCCCTCACAATAATGCTGTTGTGTTTTTATGAACAGTTTAACAGCTAGATCACAACAACACTTATCTCAGGGGACTTCAATGATTTGTTTTTTTTTCAACTTTATTTATTGAAAATTTGAACTATAATAGACATACAGCGTTAAGTAAAAAGGTGAAGAACAAAACAAAAAACAGACAATACCGCCGAATGTCAACCGGAGGAGGACTTCACTGTTGAACTGCATTGATAAAAAGTTAAAGCCGCAAGCAGCGTCGAGCGGTCCTCACGCAATGATTTCCTCCCGTAGCCATAAAACAATCATTGTACATTTGTAATGAATACAATCAGTTGTAGTCTCTTCAAGAACAAAATTTTTGACTCCCCCCTCACTCTGTAGAGGGCACTAATGGGCCAATTTAATTTAACACACTTTCAGGCGACCTAGGCCCAGGAGTTGAACAACCGAGTCAAGTTTAGTGCAAATCAGAGTTTGTAAATGTGCTCCTGTTTGCACATACAATCTGTGAGTGTGTCCATACATTGGAGAACATGGGAACTTAACACCTCTCTATGAAAATAACCACAGTTTGAGAGTCTGTCACGCTCAGACCGTTTGACTAATTCAAATTCTGTGATCCACTCTTGCAACTATAGATGGTACAATACTTAAAAATCAGAACCTAAAACATCTAATCTGATATGCAATTGTTTATGTTTTATTTGCTCATAGTTAGAGACAGAACCCAACCCAATTCTGCATTTACTTTCTCTTTGTTTTCTGCCAATTTTTCAGGTGCATTTTGTTATTTTGGGACAATGGAGCAGCAGTAAGTAAGTAATCCTTATTTATATCTTTACAGTCACATGATTTACAGTCAGTAAATAAGAGTCATGTGGCTGAGACAGGGATAATGACACTGGATCTCTATTCAAGGCAGACAGGTCCAGAATAGACCTCAATCCTCCTGGGGTTGGCTCCTGGGGTCGGATCCTGGGGTCGGATCCTGGGGTCGGATCCTGGGGTCGGATCCTCGGGTCGCTCTGTGGCCGTGGCGGTGAGATGCGTTGAGCTGCGTGGCTTTAGCCGATAATCTTTACCGTCAGACTGAGCCACTTACTCAACGCTAGCTTAAAGTGGTCTGATACTACGGGAAGGAGAAGGAGGAGGTGGTGGAGGAGGAGGAAGTGGAGGAGGA